GAGCAGCCAGAGTCTGAAGCTCTTGAAGAAGAGCAAACGATAGAACCCGAGGACGTTAGCTAAGCTTTGCTCGGGGCAGTTTTCCACATGGTTCGTGGAGAGGCGAACGCGCAATGATGTGAGAAGCGGAGTCCAAAATGGGCGTGTTTTTGGCATTGCTATTCGATTCGGTGCTTTTCGTTTGTTTGGGAGAACCTAGTAGGCGCAACAAACATATTACATACTACAATATTACACACGACAAGATAGATATTATAATCTCGCGTAAATAAACCAAATAAACAAAAGTTTTGCGCAAGGCTCAAGCGGAAAGTGCTGCAGCCTAAAGGGCAACACTGTCCAAAAACACGGGTTCAAGGTAAAAAGGTGTTACCGCACCATTTGGGCCACAGTGCGGGGATGTCGTGATCAAAAGAAACAGACTATGATGCCAAAAGTGGCGCACTTACACACACACACACACCCCGCGGCTCTCGAATATCTAACAAAACATTGGTAGCGGACGGTTGCGCAGAGTTGGCCTGCGCGCTGTTGGAGACACGCATCTCGGAGAAACGAGGATTAAGGGAGTCAGTGCGCTGCTGCACCGGGAAACCTGTCAAACCGAAAAAAATCCAAAATCAACACATCAGTGTGGCGTGGCCACACGGTTCGGTTAACATGTGGGACCTATATTCCTGACTATGAACCTGATCGCAACCACGCTGGTCAAATAACTTCGCGCTGACTGAAGCTGGTGGCAGGATCAGTGTAAGTGGAAGAGCGAAAGCATCCAAGTGCAAAAGTCTGCAAGTGTCAAAGTATGCAAGTGTAATGACGCAAGTCGGTCATCATACACATGGCCAGCGCATGGCTCACAAGAAGCTCATGGCAGGCATCAAAAATACAGAACCCCAGATACAAAATGGAACCCCGGATGCCAGGCAAGGGGATTCACATTGGAAGCAAGAAGCTCAGTCGCCAAAAAGTTTGACGCCCAAGAAGGCCATGGCGCGCAAGCCGAGGCAAGACTTGATTCATGAGCCGATTGTCCGCGAGGTTCGTGAGTGCATTGACAGTGCAGGAACTTCAGATTGACAGCTGGGCTGGAAAGTTTTGTCCTCAAGTTGTTGCTCGACCTCACGATGCAGACAAGCCTCTCGGTTGCCGAGTGAATCCGTCAGAGTTGATGGAGGGGCACTCGGATGAACTGGTGAGCCTTGCGCGTCAACGTGGCAATCGAGACAGAATGTTTTGGCTTCCGGATCCGAATTCTGAAGACCTGTGTGATTCAGGCGATTTCCCTGGAGTGAGGGTCAACGTCAGGATTCGTGGAGGATGCTATACGAGTCTCGTTCCGGTCAACAAGGCGACAATGAAGAATTGGTTGAAGACCACATTCGTGAGGCACCGCAACACGGACACAGAACCACCTGGTCCGTGGGTCATGACCGAGCACATGGACAATGTCAGACGCGGCGCCCCGAATGACTACAGTTGGGTGGACCAGATCACCTTCTCGTATCCACCGTCGAATGCCGGAGGAGCAAAAGTGTTGCAGGTGCTGCAGAGAGTGTTGGTCGACTTTGTGTTAGGACACCCCCAACACCACCAAAGCCGTCTAGGTTGCGCATCAGACTTGAAGAGGTTTTGTTGCCAAAAGGGTCATTTTTAAGAGTCAGATTCCTCTAGGACATGCAAGATTGCTTCATGAGCTAGAAATGCACGCCGAGTCGGATGACCGGACCCGCTTCTTGCATATCGGTTCAGCCACCACAACAAGATGGGAACTGCGTGTTTCGCCGCAGATTCCATTCACAGGTTTTACGTGCTTGCTCAAAGGCATGGGCAGAGAACAGGTTGAGACCGCTTTGAATCAAGCCTGCGTGGTGAAGAATGAGCAGAATCGAGTTGGAGGATTTTCACCATGCCAATGGGTTTTAGGCAAAGGACCTCGAGAAGCCCCGAGCATTGTGTCAGAAGAACAATGGGCGCAGCTAGAAGCCATTGAAGCAAAGTATGGTCCAACAAGTATATTTGCATTGCAACACCAAGCGCGCATGGAAGCACAGAAAGCCTTCGTTCACCTAGATTGTTCCCGGAGAGTGCAGAAGGCACTACTCAGAAACGCTTCGACCATCAAGCGTACCTATTCGGTAGGAGATTCAGTTGTGCTTCGTAGGGACAATCAACGTGGAGGTGCGCAATGGTCACCGCCTGCAAGATAATAGGTGAAGAAGGTCAAAAACTCTATGGTTGCTTTGTGGTAACGTTCCTGTTTTGATAGCTGCCCAAAACGTCAGACCAGCAACCGCATCCGAGGCCTTAGCGCTTAGCATTTTGCATGGTGATCCAATTGTTCCAGGTGAGATTGTAGAAGGTACAAGTCAGCAATCATTTCTAGATGCTCGCATGAGAGGCCATGAAGAGGTTGAAACAGAGCCACTTCAGCCTGCTACAGAAGGACCGTCCTATTCGCCGGAACGACTTCCGCCTGTTCCGGAAGAGGATGATGACATCTAGCGAAATTCCTGGAGGAGAAGAAGAAGGAGAAGACATCAGTGAAGACGCCGGAGATCTCGGTGAGACTCCAAATTCTGCCGCTTCGAGAGTTTCGCCGGAGGCCTGCGTCCTCAGCAGCCGGTCCATCGTCAAGAGCCGTCCGTCCCAGGACTAGAGAGCCGGAGTCAGAGCCATCGCGAGATTCGAGAAGATCATCAAGTGATACTCCAGCATCATGGCCGAATGTAGCAAGCAATCTGGATGATTTGCCGCTATCAATCTGGCAACATTTGGAAAGAGCTTCGCAGCTTGCAGAGCAAGATCCTTCGACAACTGTTTGTTTTAGCAGCAGGGTTTTTGGCGCAGTCAACTGAAGACAATGAGAAGCGAGTGCTTCGCAGCGTTGACTTCGAGACAGCATCACCAGAGACCCAGGAAGGGCTTTGCAAAGCATGGAAAAGGAATTGGGGAAATTCCTTCATTTTGGAGCCGTTGTTGTGATTGAGGGAGCAGAGAAAGATGCATTGTTGCAGCAAGGACATGTCATGATTCCCAGCAAATGGGTCCATGTAGACAAGAATGAGTTCAAGAAGCGCGCGCCTGACTAGTGGAAGAGCCGATTAGTGTCGTGCGGAAACTTTGAGCCGACCGAAGGCATTCGCTCTGATACTCTGACCGGAGATAGCGATTTGCATATGAGCATTACTGCATGGGCTTCCGTTGTTGGAACAAAATTGCATTCCGCAGATGTGAGTAATGCTTATTTCCAGTCTTAGCCATTGGATCGAGTATACTTCTTTTGCGGCAGCCGCGCGCGAGGCGGACTGCCTCAAGTCGATCCCAATGCCGCACTGTTGGTACGAGTTCCCATGTACGGACTCACAGACAGTGGAAGATCATTTTGGCTTCACTTGTCGTCCGATGCCAAGAAGGCTGGGCTTACGCCGAGCATTGTCTATCCCGCATTCTTTTACAAGCTTGATGAGGAGAACCGATGCGTCGCCATGCTGACAACACACGCCGATGACTTGTTGCACAGCTTCTTGCCAGAAGCAAAGGAAGTGATGGAATCTTTGTTAGGTTCCTATGAACTAGTTCATTGGAGGACACGAACTTCCGCTACTGCGGTAAAGCTTTTGATGAACAGAACGCTACGCTGTTGATCCACGCGAAAGATAACACCCGAACGATCAAGAAGATCAAGGTGGACAGCAGCCAGAGATTGTCAGACAAATTGAGCCCTGCAGGTCACGAAGTTGAGGTCTGTTGTTGTCTCGCTGGCATGGGTAGCGAGACAGGGACGCCCTGATTTGGCGTACCGCGTCAGCTATCTCCAAACAGCGATCAACGGTGCGACCGTTGGACTTTTGCATGAGTGCAATAAAGTCATCGAGTTGGCGCACAAGCGACTTGAAGATGTCGTGTTTCGATTTCCCAGAGAGCATTTGAAGACAAACGATTGGCGCAATGTCGGTATTATCACAGTGACAGACGCTTCATTCTGCAACGAGAAAGGTTTCAAGTCGCAACAAGGACGTGCGCACCTTTTGGTCAACGTGGAGCAGATGAAGGATGAGATGTGCATTTACCATGTGTTGCCATTAGGCTTTTCGTCAACGACCATCCAGAGAGTGCGTCGTTCGACGCTCCAAGCCGAGACATACTTGTTGCAATCCGGTATAGAGTGCGGAGACAAAACAGAGACGAAGGGTTGTTTGCGCAGCCGCAAGGACTGGGAATCCATTATGAGATCCTGCGTCCCTCATTATGCAGTTTTTGGATTGCCGTTCGCTTTGCGATCACCTCGATGCAGAGACACTCGCCAAAGTGTCAGATAAGCGACTCGGGATTGAGTTGGCCGCAATTCAGGAGAACTTGTGGCAGGGACCTCAGAGGACCTAGAATATTTTCCCGAACGGAGGAGATCGTCTGGATTGGATCAGCACTCACACGATGTTGAGTGATTGTTTGACAAAGAGCATGAAGCCGGACCTATTGCTTTCGGTCCTTCGATCATGTGTCTACCAAAGCCTACCAAGTTGACAAGAACCAGGAGAAACGATGATTCGTAGAAGAGCATAGATTTGCCGAAGTAGAGAAGCAGAACGCACTACGGCACTACTTGTAGAAATTCCTGTTTAGATGGCAGATTGTACATAGCTCCCGGACAGACTGGAAGAACAGGTTGAGTGTGATTTTTTCCTGTTGTTGGTATGTTGTGTACAGCCGAGTTCTGTCCATGGTACATTCTGCTGCCATTTGGGTTTACAGGGCCCTTGAGCTTTCCGCGCTTACGCGACGTGAAAACGCCGTTGGACGTCGCGGTCGGGACCAGTTTCATAACTAACTGTGTTTGCTGCAGTCGCGATTTGTGACGAGAGACTCATGTGGACTTTTGAACACATAACTACCGGACAGATTTCTAAAATCCTCCAAGCCCCCACGCTCTGTGGCCTCTGTGGGTTCAACTCTTAAGTCTTCTTCTTTGGGTCACTAATCACGCCATGACCTCGTTTGAGGAGCAACTCCCGCTCAGCAGCTTGAGCGACGAACACTTTGGGCGCGTGATGTGGGCCATCCAGGACATACTGATCGTCGACTTGACTTGCAGTCCCTACAAAATCTACAAACTGCTTTTCTACACGATCTGTTAGAGCACTTTGTACTATGTTGCAGCACATCTCCATCACAAATGGTTTCGCATACATACATATATATATATATATGCTGTGACTCATGAACATGGAAGTGGAAAACCACCTGTTTTTAGAGGAAAACAGTCTTCCAAGGGACCATTTTCCACTTCCACGTTAGTGTGTCAGAGTGTACTAAAATATATATATACACACACATTATATAGATACACAAGAGATGATGCCTACAACATAGGATGCGTCGTGGGATTCACGCTCTGAGAGACTTCGACGACCTGCGCCCTATTCTTATTTTTTCCTGAAACGCGTCCAAAGAATCTCCAAATCAAGTGGACTTCAAGGATTTTCGCTCCTTTCTACTGGTTGGAAGGTTAGAGCTTGCGGCAAGCATGGCCGAAGATGGGCAACAAGCCAAGGCCACACATGTCGAAGTTCTGGCGGCGTTGAAAAACCAATCTTTATTGCAGTTCATTCCTAGAACTCCGCAGATGTTGGTACCATTTGGTACCCATCTTGGTATTCGTTGTTGGGAGAATCTTCAGATTAAAATGCATGATTTCATAGCTCTCATAGCCTTCATTCTTTGTGTTGGCAGCCCTTTTTGTTTCAGGAAAACATGATATTTCAACATATTTCAACTGAACTGACGTACATTCAACAATACTATTGCTCCATGTCTGACTGGTTGATTAAAGAGCAGCGGAGACTTCGACGCACTTCCGGAGCCAGGGGGAAGGCACTTTCAATATTTTTTCCAGGCATTGCTCCGCGGGATCCAAGCTGAAGTTTCTCAAGCTTCCGCAGAAACAGCAGGAGACATTTTGCACCAGAGAGCTTGAGGCTGAGCCTTTTGGTTTTGCAGGAGCTGCAGCAGCAAGAGCTGTGCCTTTGGCAGAGTGGCTGGAGAGGACAGTTTCCCATCTCAGAAACACTTGGTGAGTTGGCATCTATGGGCAGTGATGCTTTGTTCAGCTGTTGTTGGCCCAGTATCTACACAGAGATATCAACCTACAGTATTATTAAGCCACACAACATTCTGGGTGGAGAATGGGCGCATAATGAACGAAAGCGAACAAGGACTCCCTTTCTGCAACCACTGTCAAGCAGGTCCTGTGTGTCCCATCATGTGGCCTCAGCCCATGCTTCAAGACCCACAGGATCCCGCCGCGGTCGGCCTTTTGAAAGCCAACAAGAAGAAACGCATCGCGCCGCATCAACAAACCGCTGCGGCATCAGGGGCGTGGTGTCCAACGTGGTATTTACATGTATTTACATGGGTTTTCGTCAGCGCTGTCAGCACCGACTGCGCAGCAACATTTTAGAACGCGGCTGCTCGACCTTAGCGCTCCAAAGTCCGCAAGAACTCCTGCACAGTCCTTAAAGACGGCGCAAGTTCTCACAAACTGCAGATTTGAGGGTGCTTCTGAGTGTGCGTGTTGTGACCAGAAGGCGCAGTGACAGTGCCCTAGTTCAAGTGTGCCAGATCCCGCCTCGAGGAAAAGCCCCGGGACCATCATACATGGTTCGCAGGCTTCTTGCTCAGGTTGTGCTGGGCATGTGTTCAACAATCATGCTATAGGCTATAACGGTGGCGAATTGTAAGAGATTCTACTTCATCAGGACACCCCCGCGGTTTTCGCTGACGAAATAGTAACAAAGGGCATCGCTACTAGGACTAGGAGCAAGGACGCTACTAGGGGCTCCTGGCATGCTAGTAGGAGGAAGAAGCTACTAGTAACGTGTTGGGTCCGTGCAGACAATGCACCTTCAACAACTCGCAAAGTCCCCGAACTTCACGTGTGGCTCGACTTCCACGCTTTGACGTTAGTCGTGGTTTTCAGTATGAATGTGTGTTTGTGTCATGTTTGCACTTGGCTTTGGCTTTCCACAAAAGCGGTCGTATGTGGTGTGTCTTGCGCAGGATAGATTCTGCCACTGCTGAGCAGTGCTCGCGTGAGGCAGCTTTCTTGGCAACTTTGTGTTGGAATAGCCGAAATAGCATGCCTGCATTGATTTGACCGAGCTGCAGGTTTTGGCTCTTCGATCCTTGATAAGCTCAGGTTGAATTGGCGGCTGGCTCAAACGATTTGCAGTATGACACCATGACAGCTCCAGATTGTATCGACGCAAAGTTACATGTGCGGCGACTCTTGCTGCATTTCCAAGGCTGAAACAGAAGTTCCCAGCAGCCTATGCTGTCGATCGAAAGAAAACAAGAGCGCGGTGCTTTAATAGTTTTCATTTTGTTGAACACGCTGCGGCAGGTGGATAAGTAAACACGGCCCGCCCGCCACCGTAATTAAACGCGTGGGTGCTACTTTTTTCCTTTTCCCCGGATTCTTACTTCAAATAACAGTTCGTCCACGGGGAGCAGCGAAAGCTCGACTCTACGATGGGCCAGCAGGAGGACTCGATCACTGGCCTCTTCGCGGAGCAGACGGCCGTGCAGAGAATGTGGCAAAGATTCCCTGCGTCCCAACAGCGCAGCTGTTGCAGGACATTCAGAGGACAATGTTGCTTCAGCTGGGAACCATGAGTGCATCGCCAGACCAGCTCACGCCAATCGTGAGTCAATACGTTCGTCAACATTTAGCAACGTTGGTGGGCCCAGTCGTCTTTCGCGCGGCGGGGAGCCTGCCTGAGCCATGCCATAAACCCACTTGCTTGTAATGAGTAAGGTTCTTGTCATAAGAGCTCGGGGCGTAAGGAAAACACTGCAGTGCGCAAGGTTGCATAAGCTTTTTGTGCCGCGTAAGCTTTTTTTCCCGAAAGCATTGCGAAGGGCTCTTCCGGAAAATCTCTTGAACACTGACACTTCTACACTTACACTTACACACTGACACTTCCACACTTGCACTTGAACACTGACATTTCTACACGTACACTTGAACACTTACGCTTCCACACGTATACTTAACACTGACACGTCTATACGTATCCCAGTGTAAGTGGAAGAGTGAAAGCATTCCACGGCAAGTATCCAAGTGCAAAAGTACAACTTGCACGGGAGATGTCCTAATGAGTATGCAAGTGTGAGTATGGAAAACTTGCACGGGGGATGTCCTAATGAAAAAACATTTCCCCACTTTATAAATTCTCTCTTAAACGCGGAGGGTGGGGACGAACAGCGTCAACCGAAAATGTAACCCTCTGCGGAGATCGTGCGTGTCGAGTGCACGAAATGCAGCCGAGAGTGCGATTTGTCCCATGCCGGCGCAACCCTCTGCGGAGATCGCGCGTGTCGAGTGCGCGAAATGCAGGCGAGAGTGCGATTTGTCCGGTGCCCACGCAACCCTCTGCGGAGATCGTGCGTGTCGAGCGCGCAAAATGCAGGCGAGAGTGCGATTTGACCCATGTGCGCGCAACCCTCTGCGGAACTGCGGAGATCGTGCGTGTCGAGCGCGCGAAACGCAGGCGAGAGTGCGATTTGTCCTGGACGCGGGCAACCCTCTGCGGAGATCGTGCGTGTCGAGTGCGCGAAATGCAGGCGAGAGCGCGATTTATCCCATGTGCGCGCGACCCTCTGCGGAGATCGCGCGTGTCGAGCGCGCGAAATGCAGGCGGGAGTGCGATTTGTTCCTTCCCGGCGCAACCCTCTGCGGAGATCGCGCGTGTCGAGTACGCGAAATGCAGGCGAGAGTGCGATTTGTCCGGTGTGCGCGCGACCCTCTGCGGAGATCGTGCGTGTCGAGTGCGCGAAATGCAGGCGAGAGTGCGATTTGTCCCTTCCCGGCGCAACCCTCTGCGGAGATCGTGCGTGTCGAGTGCGCGAAACGCAGGCGAGAGTGCGATCTGTCCGGTGTGCGCGCAACCCTCTGCGGAGATCGCGCGTGTCGAGTGCGCGAAATGTAGGCGAGAGTGCGATGTGTCCTGCGCTCGCGCAACCCTCTGACAGGGACTCATACACACACAGACTGCAGGGACTCATACACACACATCACACACAGAGACCCACGCACTGCCTCAACTTACTCGGACACACACACACACACACCACGCACTGCCTCAACTCACTCGACTTAACGCTTCACACTGAACACTTAACAGATAACTCACACTCTCTGACTTCCTACGTGAGAGGAGGTCTGCTGTGTTAGCAGAAACATGAACCTCACAAAAATCGAGGACAGTCACGGCACGTTCCGCGTAAGGCGCGCGTAAGCTCCGCGTAGGCAGCGCGTAAGTGTCAGCCCACATGGCTCCCAAATCCAAAGCCTTTTGCCAACACTGGCGTGAAAATTTGCACTTCAGACAAGCTTCCGCTCTGCTCATATATGCCAACACAAAACAGGTCCATAGAGGAGAGAAACTCTTGGACTCTTGGCGGTGTCCATGAGGCTTGGTGGTGCGCTGTTGCGTCTAGTCTGTGGCACACCGTGTGGCCAAATGACGTTTGTGATGTCGCTGCGCCATGTGGTTTTGCGCGGCCTTGGTAGTAGTAACTCTTGAAGCCTTGTACAAAGCGCGTCGTGTAAGCGTGTTCCCAGCGGATTCGCAAAAAGTCTGCGAAATCTAGCTGCGTAAGGGCGGCGTAAGCATCCACTTCCCCCCACATGCCGCGTAAGAAAACCTGTGGAGCGCATAAGAAAAACCTATGTGTTGTGTAAGTGTAAGCACCCTCTTACGACATAGGAATTTATCAAGGTTTCCAGCACAGCTAGCCTGGATTGCATGATCCAAGGGTCCAAAGGCGAACAGCTGCCGCAGTGGATATTATGAGCCAGAGGTTGAAAGCGCTCGAATCCCTATCCAGTGAGGGATGGGTGTTGGGCTTATAAAACAAGTGGAACTCATACACCTTGCGAGCAGCAGCGATTGCAACAGGCAGGTCGCAGTGCCTACGAAGAGCAGAAGGTGCTTGCGAAAGCGACAGGAAGGAGTCAGGAGAGCGGAGACAAAGGCAAGAGCAAAGAAAAGGGGAAGAGCGATAGAGACGGCAGAGATCGAGACAGGGAGAAGGGGAAGAAAGAGAAGGTCGACGGCAAAAAGAAAGCTGCGGAACTCGGGAGCGGAGGAGGCTCGATATAAAGAAGAGAGGAGCGAGCGGAGGAGGCTCCTGGGATGTCGGTCTTGGCTCCTGGTAGCAGGGAGCCCGAGGCCATTGAATTCAAATAGGTCATATAGGTGCGCGCTGGAACACCCGTGTCTGAGTAAGAGGTCATCGCCAAGTCAGTGCGCGCGTTGAGGAAGGACTCCCTTAACAAGGAGAGCGTCTGGTGGAGAAAGGCGTGTGTGAAATATTGGCACTGGACGACATGTACAAACTCGACAACAAGCCAGTCCTTAACGGTCTGTTCGCAGTGGGCAAAGGTGAATTTCAAGGCGACCTGGAAACACAGCGACTGTGCCGCAGTCTTGCGGGAGATGTGCGCTCCCGGCGCTTGAAGGGATGAATGGATACCTCCTCAAAGAGGGGGAGGTCCTTCTCCTGTCCAGCAAAGACATCAGGTGCTTCTTTAGTTGTTCGCAGTACCGGAGTCTTGAAAGCGCTGTCTGGCATTCAACCTCCAGTTCCCACTCGACTGGTTCCCCCACATCTTCAAGCCAGAGAATGTGTGCTAGTATCGGGTCATGTGTCCCAGTATCGGGTCCTTCCAAATGGGCTCTCAATGCTTTAAAGAATGGTCGCCTTGGTGCTGTGGCAGTGACAGACCTGGGAGACAAATGAGTGACAAGCCTGGGGGACAAATGAATAGAAATGCTGCATGGCCAGCGGAAAAGGGCGGACACAAGCAGTGTCAGGCATGGGGCACAAATGTTTGGGTTCAGCGGAAAAGGGCGGACACCACCAGTGACAGACCTGGGAGACAAACGAACAGAAATGTTGCGTCGCCAGCGGAAAAGGGCGGACACCAGCAGTGACAGACCTGGGAGACAAACGAATGGAAATGCTGCGTAAAGGGCGGACAACGCCAGTGACAGACCTGGGAGGCTAATGAATAGAAATGCTGCATGGCCGACGGAAAAGGGCGGACACCAGCAGTGACAGACCTGGGAGACAAATGAACAGAAATGCTGCATTGCCTGCGGAAAAGGGCGGACACCAGCAGTGACAGACCTGGAGACAAATGAATAGAAACGCTACATGGCCAACGGAAAAGGGCGGACACCAGCAGTGGAGGGCTGGGAGACAAACGAATAGAAACGCTACGTGGCCAGCAGAAAAGGGCGGCCACCAGCAGTGACAGACCGGGGAGACAAACGAATTATAGAAATTCTACATGGCCAGCGGAAAAGGGCGGACACCAGCAGTGACAGATGTGGCCGACAAATGAATAGAAATGCTACATGGGCAGCGGAAAAGGGCGGACACCACCAGTGACAGGCCTGGGAGAGAAATGAATAGAACAGCGGAAAAGGGCCGACACAAATGAATAGAAATGTTGACACCGCAAGTGACAGACCTGGGAGACAAATGAATAGAAATGATGCATCGCCAGCGGAAAAGGACGGACACCAGCAGTGACAGACCTGGGAGACAAATGAATAGAAATGTTATATGGCCAACAGAAAAGGGCGGCCACCACCAATGACAGATTTGGGAGACAAGTGAATAGAAATGCTACGCTGCTACATGGCCAGCGGACACCAGCATTAGCCTCCCAGTCTGTCACTGTTGGTGTCCGCCCTTTTCTGCTGGCGATGCAACCTTTCTATTCATTTGTCCCCGATGTGATTTCTTTCTTTTTGTCTTTCAGGTTTGGTGCCTGCGCTGCTGTTTTCTGCCCTGTCCGCTGGAACAGGTTCACCTGTGACTGTGTCCGGGATTGCATTCCTGCCACATTCTCTCAGCTTTGTTTTCCTCTGCGGGCAAGCGTTGGATGAATGACCGGATTGGATTTCGGCGGCGTGGCAGCGATCTCTCTCTTCAGTTGGGGCGGAGGGCATACGTCAGGCGCCAAAAATCAATTTCATGTCACATCCTTCGCTCCTCACGCTTTTATTTCTTATCCTCACGTGGTCGGCTCCCCGCTGATTGAGCAGTGTTCGCACTTGAAGAATAATTCCATAAAAGGTTTACTGTTAGGGCTTCTCAATTCTTTCTCAAGATGTGTCCGCCCGCTCTGTACTGCTGCGTCTGTCTCTGCCTTGCAATCCTTTACAGCATTTGTCTCCCAGCTCTGGGCTGCTGTGGCCGCCTCTGCCTTGCAATCCTTTGTCTCCCAGCTCTGGACGTCGCAAGCTCTAGTTTCGATTTTGAAAAGCACAAACTGTTTGGGGTCTACGGTGGTGTAATTAATTCATTTTCCAAAGCGCAACATAATCACCGTAATGTGGCGCGATGGTCAGCCATGGAGGTAGGAGGCGAAGGTGAGCTTAGGAAGGACAAGGACCCCCAAGCTGTGACGACATGTATCGCATCTACCTGGACAACTTAGACTTACTGGAGAGAGTGCAGAAGGATCTTACAGAAACGCTCAAAGGAACAGTATCGAATCGGAGCAGGTAGCGAAGCTCCGGTGTACTTATGAGTCCCTTGGATTGCCTCGTCGTCCAAAGAAAGCCGTAGAGCGGACCTTAAAGGGCAAGATGCGAGGCGCTCCTCGATGGTGAATTGGGATTCGCTATGCAAAGTTGTTCAGTATTGCAAATTGGGGCGGGAACTTATTCGACAAGGTCAATCCATCGTCAAAGAGCTGCAGGTTGTGTGTGGGGGTTTCGTTTATGTGGCCATGTTTCGACGTGCCCTGCATGAAAAAGTTTGAGGGGGAACCGCCGGTCGTACCAGGTGAAAGTTGAGATCGCTCCCTTGGCGCAGATGGACTTCAGGGCGAAGTAACCTGTTCGGACGCATCAGCAGAGTCAGTCACGATCACAGCCGGACCAGCCTTGAAGTGGCTATGGCAATGGAAAGAGTCTCAAGGTCCAAAGACCCCCCTGTGTCCTAACCACCATGAATGGAGGCGGCCACTTTCTGCTTCGGTAAGCGTGGGAACTTGGACAAACTCTTAGTTGCTGGCCGGTGGCAAGCGGCTCGAACAGCTCGCATTTACATAAATGAAGGATAAGGATTGGCCGTCCTCAATGAATTGAAGCTCCCAACTAAGGCTCTCCTACCTTTCTCTCGTGTGCTTCACATCCAGCGTACTCCTCCTCGACCAGCCCACTTAAGCACGCGCGTTAAGCGCAGAAAAAGGGGGACGTGGAAAGAGGGGAAGGGGGGAGCAGTTTTTCTTTTCATTTTCTCTCACAGATTCCTTTTTAAAGCAAAGCTTGGCTCCAAGCTCTTGGTATGACAGGAGACTTGGGGAAAGCTAAAAGAGGGGGTAGGTCTCTTCTTTCGGTCTGGCGGAGAAGGGACCTACTCAGCCCCTATAGGGTTGAGGAACCCAAACCCACTCGTGCAGGTAAGACGATGAATGTGTTGAACGTTTGTCCCGGTTTGAATATCTCTTGTGATCCAACCACGGGGTGCATTGAAAAGAGGCCAAGTGAGCTTATATTTATATGTATATATATATATGCATATACATATCAATAGTTGTGTTTGGCAGACCCCCCCACCCCTCCCCTCCTCCCCGCCCTGAACAACCACCCGCCGCCTCCCGACTCAGGCTCTAATTTTGCATTTTTTTTCATTGACATTAATTGGACACATTTGTGCTCAGCGAAACTGTCGCAAACCAGCTGAACATGTCACTTTGTTCTGGCGCTCTGGCCCCTGTACGACGGGATGGCGTTGCACCGTGTGGCTCAAAGCACATAGCCAGTCAGTTGTTTGTGCAGTTGAAAAATTTTTGTAGTTGCTTAGTTTGCAGCATTTTGCGGCAGTCGTATCTATGGTGATGGGCATTCCCGTGAGTGGCCCAAGGGCCATTAACGAGCTGTTGTTCGACAGTCTTCTGTTTTTTTGACAGAGGAGACAACTCGCGGATGTTCGACACACATTTGCCAAACTGTGGTTGTGTGGGCGGAGTTAAAGCTGCTCTAAGACGGCAAAAGTACCGAGTGACGCGTGTGGACCGCCTCCCATGTTTGCTACTCGTTCTCGGCTACTCATTCTCCCGTCAGAGGCTTTGGCACCTGAACGCCAAGTATTTGAAGGAGGTTTGCTTCTGGAGACAAATTTGGTTTTTACATTAACTGAGTGACAGAGTGCTTTCAATGAGATTCGGAAGTAACAGAATGAACAATTTGACGATTAGACTTGGACATTATTCTACGTTTCTCACCTTTGCGTTTAGAATTAATATGAAACATGCAAGGCATGAAGTTTTACTTCAAAGTGTTGAGTCCATGAAAGGAATTGCAACAAACCAGACGTGGCGGTAGATGTTAAAACCATCAGGAATCGGGCTTTGGAGTTGACACTACAAATTCTCAAGGCAGACGTTTCTGGAACATTTTCAATCCACGTCATTCGCCATCTCACACCGAACATTTTCTTTTGAAGCAGGCATCATTTCATGTATTTCCCGGCTTTCATTTTGTACCTGTTGCACTTTTGAAGCAAGTTCTTCCTCGCCCAATTGAACGCTGCATGCATAGAGGACGTTTTCTTTCCATTTCAACTGATTTGCCCTTTTCGCTTTCTCTTGACTCTTTTCAGACCTTTCAGCTTTGTTAGGACAGTTTTGAAGGTGCAAGTTGGGGCCACCTAGAGAACATGTGCAGGAACGGACACCTCCAAAGTTCCTGCGCGACTTTAGGAGATGCAAAGCGAGAAAGCAAACTGGCCAACTTGTGAAACAAGCAAGTGCTATAGAATGCTTGGTAGTTTTGCTGGCTTGTGCGAAGAACCGGTATGATGTCTTACTGTCTTGCGCCTTTCAGCATTTTCAGAACAACAGCCAAGAGGCCTTCAATGCTGCAGGAAAATCGGCCCCCGTACCCTTGAACTGGAGAGTTGAGCCCACGAAGCTGTTGGGCAGCCGACAAGAGACACTAGACCGAAGCATGTTACTGACCTAAACAAGCACGATAACGGTGGTCGCAGTAGTCGCGACACAAACCCACTGCACTGTCAAATCAAGCTACCTTGAACACGCAAGCAACGACAAAGAATGCAAGTAATTGCAATACCCAACATTAGGCGATATAATGCCTTGTAAGCTTTCAACTCTGGGTCTCCCTTCATCTCCTTTGGTTTGATTCAAGTTGTGTTGCTGTTTTCATGCTGCATCCAGTGCTCTCAGCGCCTCTCCATTTGCAGGTTCTTGCTAGATGTATATAATCCATTGGGCCGACTTCTCTCTGAATTATTGTTTGTTTCCCTGTTTGCCCGCCTTCCCAAAATATATCAAGGCATGCAACCAAAGCCCTTTGGACCCTTGGAGACACATGGAGACACAAAACCAAACAATAGGACGCACGTAACTCAGACGACCATGAGGGGGATACAAGCGAGACAACCAAGACACAAGACAAAGTATGCCACCTGAGTCACCAGACTGTCAGAGAGAAAGAGCAGGAAGCTGCGAGACCAGGCTAGTCATGCGAAATAGGCCTTGCGCACAAGGACCCACAATAAAGAGGACCCCCCCTAGGGCCCCCTAGACCCTCTAGACTTTCAGACACAATGGACAGCGTCAGGCCCCTATGGAAGCCTCGAAGAAGGTGCCCGCGACTGAGCAGCTAGATGTGGGCTTTTGGGCCACTTGCTGCAATTCTCAGACGCGATTCAATTGCTCTTCTGATTCATGTCCAATGCCAGTACTACTGTATCTCTCGCTGCTTCCAAACATAAGAATTTTGCAGTGGCTCAGGGGTTGATGCCAAGAAATGCATTCTTCACAGAGAGTGAAGAGAGGACATGCTTTACTATGTTTTGGCCCTTCCTCAATCTAGCCGGTTCATGGTCCTGTCCTGAACCTACGTCTCAATGCTTCCAATTGTCCATCCTTCCACGGGACCCTTTACTTCCTTATTCTAGTGAACATAAGATGGCAATGCGAGTTGCACATTGTTGAAGCACCTGCGAACTTGTGAGTCTTGCCGCCTTGCCTTTCATTCATTGGAATCATTCAACATGTTGGTCGTTTGGTTCTTGAGATTCTTGAGGCTGTGGCCTGCGGAGAAACCCTCCAGCCATGATGAGATGGGGCCCTAATAACTTGAACGAATTCGATTCGCATGTGCCACAAGTTTTGGGGATCCTTGCAGCAGAAGCTATTTGAGCAGTGTCGAAAACCCTCAAGGAAGGAACTTAGATTATATGCGGGTATATAACAGCCTGCGAAAGTAAACACCCCGGGCAGGAAAGCTTTGAGAAAGCTTCGCGAAAGTGCAAAAGCTATTCTGGGCGACATGTCCTTTTGTTAACCATTTACACGTAAAAAACGAGGGTTCCGCCTTGAAAGTGGCGAGAAAGTAAGTACCCGGTACCGGGAAATATGGCCGCAAAAGTAGAGCACAGGTCGCGAAAGCAACGGGACAGCATTCGCGGATAAGAACCCCACCGCAACCCAGGTTTTCGAGAAAGCTCGTTCGATATTATTTGATCGCTCCGTTTCACTGACCTGAACGGAATAAGCGACGGCACTGACGACTGCAAGGATGATCGCCCAAGTGAAAGATGTATTGGATGCTGTGATGTAGTGCACCGCTTTTGCAAAGCATTGCGTGTGGTGGTGACCGCCTCTGCTGAGGCATCATTTTTTACATAGATTGATTCGTTCGACCGCCCCAGAGTGCACTTTTGAGTCAAGCCGCGAAAACAAAGCTGCCAGCTGTTTTCACACTGGTAGCGGAGCGGCTCGGCACTTCATCTCCGACACCCGCGCCTGCCACAAAATCAATATGTTAAGGAGAACTCCCCGGCGCAAAAAAAATCTAACCAAGCAAACATGCCTCCTGCGCTAGTTCTCTTTCTCTTTGCTGTTTCTCTGCTAACTGCACCAAACTGTTGTGATAGGTAGGAACTTCTCTGACATCTACACTATTCCAATGTATTTTGCCAGCTCCCAAATCTGTCTACCTATCCATCTATCTGTCTATATCTATCTGTCTATCTATCTGTTTGTCTGTCTGTCTGTCTATCTATCGATCTATCTATCTATCTATCTCTTTCTTTCTTTTGTCTGTCTTTCGTTCTGTCTGTCTGTATTTGTTTCTTTCTTTCTTTCTTTCTTTCCTATCTACCTATTTATCTGTCTATCTGTCTATCTAACTATCTAGCACCTGCCACGAAATCTGCGCTTCAAGGTCCACAAAGGACTGTGCCTTCCACGAAATCTGCACTCCAAGGCCCACAAAGTCCTGCACCTGCCACGAAATCTGCACTTCAACATCCACAAAGTCCTGCACCTGCCACGAAAACTGCACTTCAACATCCACAAAGTCCTGCACCTGCCACGAAAACTGCGCTTCAACATCCACAAAGTCCTGCACCTGCCACGAAGTCTGCACTTCAAGGTCCACAAAGTACTGCGCCTGCCACGAAACACGAAAAACAAAAAAAACAAAAAACCGAAAAAAACCTAAATTAAATCCGAGCTCACACAAAAGGCAGCCGCGGCCCAGCGGCGACCACGCGCGCCGCAGCTAGCTGGTCCGGGAGGCTCTGTGCACTGCGCCTGCAACCAAATCTCCGCGCCAAGTGCTGCGCCTGCCACACAAAAGGCAGCCGCAGCCCAGTGGCGACCACGCGCGCCGCAGCTCATCTGCACTCCGGGTTCACCAAGTGCTGCGCCTGCCACACAAAAGGCAGCCGCGGACCAGCGGCGACCACGCGCGTCGCAGCTCCTCCTGAAGGCTCTGCGTACTGTTCCTGCCACGATATCTCCACTCCAGATTCACCAAGTGCTGTGCCTGCCACACAAAAGGCAGCCGCGGCCCAGCCTTGACCACGCCGCAGCTGGTCCGGGAGGCTCTGTGTACTACGCCTGCCACGAAATCTGCACTCCAGGTTCACAGAGCGCTGCGCCTGCGGCGAAATCTGCATGACAGGCAGCCGTGTAAGATGAGTGGAGTAAGATGAGTGGTGTGAGATGAGTGGTGTAAGATGAGTGGAGTAAGGTGAGTGGAGTAAGATAAGTGGAGTAAGATGAGTGGTGTAAGATGAGTGGTGTGTGATGAGTGGTGTGAAATGAGTGGTGTAAGATGAGTGGTGTAAGATGAGTGGTATAAGATGAGTGGTGTAAGATGAGTGGAGTAAGATGAGTGGTGTAAGATGAGTGGTGTAAGATGGCTGGTGTAAGATGAGGGTGTAAGATGAGTGTAGGATGAGTGGTGTAAGATGAGTGGTGTAAGATGGGTGGTGTAAGATGAGTGGTGTACGTTGGGTGGTGTAAGGTGAGTGGTGTAAGATGGGTGGTGTAAGATGAGCGGTGTGAGATGGGTGGTGTAAGGTGAGTTGTGTAAGATGGGCGGTGTAAGATAGGTGGTGTAAGGTGAGTGGTGTGAGATGGGTGTTGTAAGATGAGTGGTGTAAGATGGGTGGTGTGAGATGAGTGGTGTAAGATGGGTGGTGTAAGATAGGCGGTGTAAGATGAGTGGCGTAAGATGAGTGGTGTAAGATGGGCGGTGTGAGATGAGTGGTGTAAGATGGGTGATGTAAGATGGGTGGTGTAAGATGAGTGGTGTAAGATGGGTGGTGTAAGATGAGGGGTGTATGATGAGTGGTGTAAGATGAGTGGTGTAAGATGAGGGGCGGCGGAGGAGGAGGAGGAGGCGGAGGCGGAGGCGGAGGCGGAGGCGGAGGCGGAGGCGGAGGCGGAGCGGCGGGTGCAGAGCGAAAAGCAAGAACCCCACATAGTGATGTGGGGAAACACCATAGTGTATGGGTTTTGCTGGCTGAAAGATGCAACAGCGTTTGTCGCGTAGAGAAGTGGCGCAAGCACTTGGGAGGTGGGCGCACGACGGCTGCAAGCGCAGGAGCTCTGCATGGAGGAGCTTCAAGTTTGGGCACTCCATTTTGGATTCAATGAAACTCTTCGTTCCAATGAGCTCAACAAGGGAGTGGCGCACCCTCTTGCTGTCATTGCCTGCGCAGGGCAAGCTGGGCCTGATCCAGGACCATCAGGTGTCGCGTTTGCAGCTTGGCTTACCACCCAGATGAGTATATGCGCCCTTCGCTCCAATGGACTGCTCATGCGTTGCGCATCTCGTGGGACATGAGCGTTCCAGATGTCGATATGTCTCTGTGGCTCTCCCTCTCGAAGAAGTCCAACCATACTGGAAAGATGAACGCGTCAGATTTGTTACTTTCGGGATTGAACATGTCGGAATAGTTGACCGAAACTTAAAGCGATCGAGAGAACTACATCTTCTTTCTACTCTTCCTACATGCCCGGGATTTGCGCGAGGCAAACAGACGCATTGACTGGACCATGCTATCTCAACTGCGCCGAGAGGGTTGACTTTCCGGTCAGGATTCCTGGGACACGCAGAAGGACCCCGATGATTTCATGTATCATCACGGACGCTCGCGCAAATCAAGCAGAAGAGATGATGATTGATGGAGCGCTCAGCAAAGAAGGGCGTAGATCACAAGGAGAAACGCTGATCTGCGTGGGAACAAGCTCACTTCGAGAAGGTGAGGAGGGAGGCATCCATTTGTTTGCTTTCTCGAGCGCGATCGTTCGTTGAGTTTGTCGCTCAACCATGCAAGCAGAAGCTTGCTTCAGGCAGGCATTGAAATAAGGCAGGAGATCGAGTGAGGGCTGCAGCGCGACCTTTTTGCCAGTCGAAGGAGAAGCGGTGGGAGAGTTCTGCGGCAAGCTTCACGAAGCAGGTGGTACAGCAGGTCCCGGGTTGATTCGTTGAAGAACGAAGCCGGCAGACTAGACTCTCAATTGAGTTGGCCTCGATATGGCGTATCCCAGGAGAAGCTGAAGTTTCTCAAGGGATCACTTCATGCGCGACGAGAAGCCGAAAAAATGACGGTCAGCGTTCCGCTGGGTGGACACCAACGCGATGCTGGCAGACCCTTTGACGAAGGTCATGGATCCGTGCAAGTTGGTTCAGGCATTGGAGACGAACAAGTGGAACTTGGAGCAGCCAATCAATGCTATGATTGCGGCGAGGCTCCAATGCGAAAGGCAGAGACCAAGGGACTTCCTGAGGAATACAGAAGTTTACTCTACAAAGTATAGCAAGCAGATGAACTGCGCTACAGGACTATATGGATTATGAGGCCCGCCGGACGCTGGCAAAATACTGAGGACTTTGTGTGAGCCCCGCAGGGGCAGATTCAGCCAGATGATGAACATTTTCCGCCGGGACAAGCTGAACTGAGAGTATTGGTTTTCGTATGGTTCGTAGAAATTTTGCCAGAGAACGCAGCCCCCTACTCTCGCAGAAATTTGGTACACCACGCCAACCGATTCACGGGTGTGATGTATATAGCATGTTTTTGCACCGCTTTTGCAAAGCATTGCGCATGTTGACCTCTGCTGAGATCTTCTACAGTACATAGATGGGTTCGTTCGACCGCCGCAGAGTGCACTTTTGAGTCAAGCCGCGAAAACATATCTGCCAGCTGTTTTCACAGGTGCTTTTCAAAGGGCCTGGCCATGTCGCTGTTGATTGATTGTTAAACTTATTCAGCCCGAGGCTTTGCTTGCACCTGGCCCAGCTGCGGTGTGAGCGAGACATGGAGGAGGTCACTTTCCGGAAGGAATGCGAGGCTGGTGTTCTCATAGCTGGTTGTGTGTGGAAAGTTTAGAATATTTGTCTGAACCTTTCAAGGCACTTCTTGCTACCGCCGTGGACCTCAGGGCAGACCGAAGGATGCTGGAAGAGGAACCTGTATATGCGATGGGAGTGCTTTTTCATAGGGTTCATTGACTCAGTATGTGCAAACCAATTGTGTGTATGCAGTGGGGCTCTCAAGATTTCTCAACTACCACAAGGGCAATAGATATGTACCCTTGGACACAGGAAATGGTTTTCTACCTTACGCAGTCTCTTCAAGTGTCTTCCACAAATGACAACCTCAATGGACGAGCCTTTTCGCCAGCCAAGTTGAGCAGAAGGCACCTATGTCCAAGTAAAAGTTGCAATGAAAACCTACCCAGTATGAATGAGACGATTTGAAATCATTGCAAGAAGTGTCGTGATTGGAGTTGGCATGCAGCCCTTGCCCAAACACCGGGTCCACCAAGAGAGTAAGACTAGAAGGAACTATGGTTTGCTTTTCTGTTGCCATACTGGTACTTCCATCCATCGCCTCAAGACACGGTGTTTTTTCCTTTCATTCTGTTCATGTTTGTCATTCCTTCCTTCCTTCCTTCCTTCCTTCCTTCCTTCCTTCCTCGCCCGCAAGAATTGGCTCCACCGCACGCATGTGCATTGTGTGTGCGTGTGCGGTGCACCATTGCACCTGGACACGATTTTTTTGTTTTCCTTTTCCTTTCATCAGGTTCTGCATTTGAGGAAACAATGATAAAGAACAGCGACACACTGCGCAGTTTTCTGCACTTGAGGAGACAGCTAGATGGGAACGAATTGCGACGGTGGAGGCTGATGTTGAAGAGAGAAGTTGTGCGAGGACTGAATTGTTGGCTATGCTTTAATCTAAGGTCAAAGCAAGTTGACGTTTCGAGAGCAGCAAGAAGATTAGCTGAACTGTTTCATTTGTTCGACGCTGCATCAGGAGTGAGAAGACTCAGCGAACTTTGCTGAACGAACTCGAGGTTTGAACACTTCGTTCCTGAAATGGTTTTGTTGATAAGCTCGCAGCATGTTGTCGTTGCAGGAAGGTCAGAATGAGTTGAGAGCTGCCCCGGCTTCACTTCGAGGGGTTTGGTCCTGAGATCCTCCAGAGAAAGGAAACACAACTGTGAAAGTGAAGTTGCATTCATGTCATGACAAGCCTTGTTTCATGGAAACCCGCGGTTGAGACATGTCGGACCCCGCCAACCTTCGGTTGGCTCAAGCCTTGCCTGATGAAAAGGCGCGTTTTTTGCCGCGTGAGACCAGTTTCAACACTGGCAGCGGAGCCCCAAGGGGCACCCTCACCACGTGTTAGCTCCTTGCCATGTCTGGAGACCCTCCGCTATGACGGAGCGCAGAGCACCACCCTGGCGACAAGCCAGGACTCCTTCGACTCTGAAGGTAAGTTCGGGATCCCTCGCTTCTCAGGAGAGCCAGCTCAGCTACCAGAGTACGCCTTCCGCGTCCAGATGAGGATGCTGCGCGAGAAAGGAATGGAAGAGAGCGAGCTGAAGAAAGTTGGCCCCTTGGGCATACGGCTTGTGGAGGGACTTCGTGGACAAGCCCTTCGCCTTGCCCAGCAGCTGAAGCCTGAGGATCTAGCAAAGCAGTCAGGCCCTGAGACACTCCTGAAGCTGTTCAACGACACCCTGAAGCCGAGCATCTCAAGAGGCACGAGAACTCTACAGTGCCGGGTCGAAAGAAGGCGGCATGCTCAGTCGCCAGTCTGGCGAATCTATGTCAAGCTACATCACCAGAAGAAGGTCCTACGCCGTCGCCATCCCGGACGTGATCCTCGCGGAGCAACTTCTTACGAATGCTCAAATCTCTGGAGATCAGAGATTGATGGTGCGAACAATGCTCCAAGGCACCCTGACCTTCGACACGGTTGCCTCTGAGCTGATAGCACAGCGCCCGAGGATCCATGAGTTCGAGAAGCAACGGGGCGGAAAAGGCTATGGGAATCACTCACGCCCATGGTCACGACCTCAAGGACATCAACATCGCCACAACAAGCCCTTCCGGAGCTACTTGGCTGAAGATGCAGATGAATGGGAGAGTCAGGACCTCACTGGCTTTGATGAAGTTGAAGAGGATCAAACTGCCTACTTCCAGGACACCAAGACCGTTGTTGAGGAAGATGCTGAGGTCTACCTGGAAGAGCACACGTGCTATCTCATTGAGAATGGCATGGACATGGACAACGAAGAAGCATGTGCCTTGGCAGCTGAAACCCTCCAGCTTGAGTATGAGGCCTACAACATGAGGCAGCACGCCTCTGGAAAGGGTCATGGTGGCTTTCACCAAGCCCGTCAATTTGATGTTTCTGGACAGCTCTCATTCCAGGAACGAAAGGCCCGTTTGATCCAGCTGAAGTCGAAGACCGAATGCCGTCGTCGCCATCAGAAAGGTCATTGGTCGGGGGATCCACAATGTCCCAAAGGATCACGAAAAGGCAGCGGCATGTTCTCTGGGAGGTCACCGAGCACTTCATCGACTTCACCGCCTTCTACCTCCAAGAGTGGCAAGAGCAAAGGCTCTGGGAAGCACAAACCCAGAGTGGTCTACTTCAGCACGAAGGAACAAGAGGATGTCCCCGATCCAGGAAGCGAGAAGGCATGGTGTGGTATGGCTCTCAAGGAAGATCCACGACACCGTGGAGTCTGTGTACCACCACCTTCAAGCCTGCAGAGTCCTTCACGATCCACTGCACCTCCGACTACCAGTCCGCCTACGGGACTTCGTGCTAAGGCAGCTCCAACTCAGCCCGCTGCGCACGATGCTATGGCATTGAGTATGACCCGGGTGCCTCAACTTCCTTTTGGAGTTCCACGTAACGATTCAGCACAAGTTGAACTGCAAGATGCTGGCACCGAGGCCTTGGTTGAGAGGTCTTTGCATTTGGCTCCTTCAGAGCTTCGTGGCCGTCTGCTCACTCAGGATGAGATGGATGAGCAAGCTCTACACGCAGCTTCGCACATGGTCGCAGACATGGAGGCCATGGAGGTGGAATCTGAAGGCTATGAGCCCAGCATCTATGATCCAAGTTTGATGTCTTTTGAACTTGTATCTCATGCACCTGGGCCCTCCTCTGGATATGGACAGAGTGGCATTCCCTCAAAAGCACCAAGTGTTCCTCCGCTACCACAACGTCATCAAGGCCCTGAATGTGAACACAAGAAGACAACCAAAAAGGGCGCCAACAAGTACTACACGATGGTGTCATGTGTGGACGGCGGTGCGATCTTGGAAAAGACCAGAAAGCCAGAGACTACAACTCCGGCAAAGTCAGCGCCACCACCTCTGCCAGCAACGGCAGAACAAGAGCTATGTCCTCACCATCGCATTTCATGGAAGGGAACAAATGGCTTCCAGACGCGACAGACTTGTCTGGATTGCGGCTTTGTCAGGATTGGCCGCCCAAAGTCAGCGCCAGCTCCTTCGAGATACTCATCCTCAGCAGAAGGAGACCTTCCTTTGAGTTTCACTCCTCAAATGGCCCAAGCAGTCTTCCGCATGAGCAGCATGATGGCCCTCATCAAGCACAACGAGACCGGTGAGAACCTCACAAGTGAAGATCTATCTCGTCTTTTGCGAGGTGCCATGCTCTCCATCGTGAATTGGCCGCCAGAGGATAGTTTCACTGATTCCAATGCACAGGCAGCTTTTTCTCCGGGTCCTCGACCCTCCTGCACAGGTACTCCACCAGCTTCTACTGCCACATCGCCTGTACCAACACCAGATCGAGGCACGGCTCGAGACAGTCGCCATGTCAAGATCTTGAACTTCGGCCGCTACAAGGGCCAAAGCTATGAGAAGGCCTACCAGGACGCCTCCTATGTCAACTGGGTGTTGGGCGAGTTGAACGAAGACTCAAATCCCATCTTCATGCATTTGGGTCGCTACTTTGAGGACCGGCGCATGGCAGAAAGAAGCAACACAGCTTTCATGGCAACCAAGACGATTGAGGTCTCAGACACTGAAGAGGACTTCCCTACTTCAGAGACGGTCGCCTCCGAGACTGACCTCATCGCCATCTTGGATTCAGGCTGCAACAAAACATGTCATGGTGAACTTTGGCTCCAAAAGTATGCCGCAGCAGTTGGACACTCCATTGATGAGATTCCCATGAACCCTGAAACTGGTTCCTTCAGAGGCATTGGCGGCTCGGTCACCGTCCTCGGACTTCGCAGCTTGCAAGTCGGATTTGAGCTAGCTGACGGTGGCATCGCCATTGGAGACATCGACTCCACCGAACTGCAGGGCAGCTCAGCACCTCTCTTGCTCAGCATTGGTGATCAACGCAAACTTGGTCTTTGCATCGAGCTTGGCAACACTGAGTCTGTGTTCAGCCCATCGCAATGGGTGCTTGGACGTCTACCTCGTGAAGTTTGCTCACTCACAGCGGAAAATGATGATACTGAACATCTTGGAGTGCATCATGAAGGCATTGATGATCCGCTGGATGAGTTCTCCAAGCAACTCGAGATTAGACAGGCAGCAAAGCAGGCCTTTGTCCAAGCCAACTCTTCCAGAAGAATCAGAACAGCTTTGCTTCGAAAGTCAGTTCCACTACGTGGCCCCTATAAAGCTGGAGATTTGGTCAGCTTCCATCGCAAGGGCAAATGGTTTGGCCCAGGCCGCATTGTGGGAACTTCTGGAAGGGCAAACTTTTGGTTGGTCCATGGAGGAATACCGATCATCGTATCGGAAAGCCAGATCCGCCCTGCAACTCGATCCGAAGTACCCTCAAAACAGCTTCTCGAACTACGACCATCTCGGAAGAGACGCAGGGAGGCCTTTGAAGAGCCTATGGATGATGTACCACCATTTTCTGAAGATCTTCAAGTACCAGCTCTTCAAGAGGCACAAGAAGATTTGCAACCTGGCTACATTGAACTGCCAGTTGAAGCAGGATCTGGTCCTTCACCATCTCCAATGCCAGAGCCAACTTCTCCTGAAGAGCCGGAAACTCCGTTTGATCTACCTCATGAACTTCCATCAGTACCAGAAGAAATGGCTCTTGATGATGAAGAAGAAGTACCAGTTCCTCCAGAGCCAGATAGACAAGAATCTGGACAACCAGAATCGGAAGCGTCACACCCTATGACAGTGCCATCAACTCCAATCATGGCTCCTTCCGTTGGCTCCACTTCCCTGCAAACAGCTCTGAACCGCTCAGTGGATCAACTGGACGGCTATCCACGTCCGGAAGTTCGACCTCCACCAGGTCTACTACCTGTTCAAGGAAGATCAAGGTCGCCACTACGAGACCCACCTGTTCCTCGTGATGAACGTGGCCTGATGGCCATTGCAGCTGAAGAGAAACGCTACCATGGCTTTTTGGCCAAGCGCTTCAAGAAGAAGAAGCGCCAGGTGGGCGCTCACAGGGAGATTAACTTCAACACCTGTGACCCGAAGACCAGAGCTGGGCTCATTTTGAGCAGAAAGAAAGAGTGGCGCAACTGGATGGACTTCACCGCTGTCCATGTGATCAAGCCCAAAGATGTCAAGGGCTACCTGCTGAAGAACCCGCGCGTGAAGATTGTGCCAACTCGTTGGGTCGATTCCGACAAGAATGAAGTCGGAGAAGAGTCACAACTGAAGTCAAGACTCGTTGTTCGTGGTGACTTAGAATGGCACCCAACCAAGTTGAGGACTGATAGCCCAACGTGTTCACAGCTCATCGTGAACATGATCCTGGCGCACGCAGCTTCCATGAACCTGCGAGTCAACGCAGGAGATATCAGTGCAGCATTCCTTCAAGGTGTGAAGATCAATCGCACCCTGGTTCTCTCACTGCCGTCTGGAGGTGTTCCAGATGAAGATGTGCCAGAAGGATCACTGCTTGTGGCCGAGAAGTCCGTCTATGGCACGACCGACGCCCCAAGAGGATTCTGGAAGCGACTTCATGAAGTGCTTTTGCAATGCGGCTTAAAGCCAATTCCTGCAGAGGCTGCCGCTTACTACTTGCCAGGTCCCGAGAACGAGATTCAAGGTCTCTTGGGCACCCACGTCGACGACATCCTATGGACCGGCAATGAGAGAATGGACAATGTCATGAATTCTGTCCAGCAGCACTTCCGCTTCGGCAAGATTGAGGGCAATGAGTTCAAGTTCTGCAGTTGTTTGATCAAACAGCAGGAGGATGGCGTCTACCTTTCAAGTCCAAACGTCATGGACCGAGTCAAACCGGTCTACATCCATCCTGATCGGCGAGCTCTTCGTGCCGAGCCAGCAGATGAAAAGGAGATCTCTCAGCTTCGCTCCGTGCTGGGAAGCATTTCATGGTTTGCCAGGACATGCCGTCCGGATCTCTCCTTTGCCGTCAACCAGCTCCAGTCAGTGCAAGCAACTGCACGAATCCAGGACCTCGTCGAGGCCAACAAGCTGTTGAACTTTGCCGTCAAGACCAAGAAGAAAGGCATGGTCTTTAGCAAGAATGGCCCAAAGCTCAATGAGTGTATGATACTCTCAGTGACTGACGCTAGTCACGGGTCGAGCTTCGAAGATCTTGGAGGCGGCAGACTGGGCGGCAACAGATCCCAATCTGGGAGGATCCTTGCTCTAGCCTGACAGGACTTCATGACCGAGGGCAGGCACTGTGGCTTTGCTCTCTTGGTGTTCGACCACCATCAAGAGAGTGCGCAGGAGCACCATGCAAGCTGAGACTCTCAGCCTTCAGCTGGGATCAGAAGAAGCAGAGCATCTTCGCCAGATCTTCTGCGAGGTCAAGAACCTGACCGATGGCAGCCGAGGAAAAGAAAGATTTGTGAAGGCATGCGATGCCATGGCAATCGGATGGCTCACCGATTGCAAGAGCCTCTACGACCACCTCTTCATGCCCGGCATCAGCGAGGTGACGGACAAGCGCCTTGCCATTGACCTGACGGCTTTGCGTCAGGACGTTTGGCGAAAGCCAGGTGAAGAGACTGGAAACCCGAGCTATGATGATGCTCCACCGGCTGATGGCACCACGAAAGTGGCATGGGTCGACACCTTGACAATGGTGTCGGATGGCCTCACCAAAAGGATGAAGAGCCCGCAGCTGGATACGCTCACCAGGAGCGGATGGTTGGAAGTTAGCTTCACGAAGCTTTCATCGCCTGGTTTCCATGAAAAGAAAAACAATGGGTGTGAAAGTGAAGTTGCATTCATGTCATGACAAGCCTTGTTTCATGGAAACCCGCGGTTGAGACATGTCGGACCCTGCCAAGCTTCGGTTGGCTCAAGCCTTGCCTGATGAAAAGGCGCGTTCTTTGCCGCGTGAGACCAGTTTCAACACAACCATAACCAGATCACTCCTCTTGGTAGATGAACATTTGAATGCTGAAAAGGAAGTGGACAGCAAGATGTCGAAGTTGATCTAAAGGTCTTGGATAGGTCTTTCGGAAAGATTGACCTTTCTGGCTTCTGATGTTTTAAAACCGTTCCCGAAAGATCCTGGATGGGGTTCGCGAAAGTATCTTTTCTCTTTTCGAAAGATCTGTTGAAGGTTCCCTGCCAGCATAAGTCTCAGAACAGGCTTCTGGCAGAGTGGCCAAGGTTTGGTGTGGACTGGTCGCAATGTCCATGTCGTAGCTCTGTCTATGGCATGCCCATTGCAAAATATAGCCATTTCTGTAGATCGTGAATGCAACGTGAAAGATGCTACAAGCCATAAGCCATCATACATGAAGACATTGAGCATGGTGGCTCATGGCACAACTCCCCGACCAGGAACTCGGGGTGGACAGAAGCAAATTCTACAGATATGACATGCACCTGACAAGCAGACAACCAAGTTGATGGCCTCGGCCTAGTTGGCTCCTTTTCGGTATCGTGATGTCTGGACACTGTGTGGGTTGAAATGGTGTCCCAGCGTCAGGTCGTCATAGCCAGAGTTGCTGCAGGCGTCGTTGCTGTAGGCAAATTGTCAGAATGTCTCAACCATATGGCGGCGGTTCATCAAGCGCCTGTTCGCATTAGTGCAGAGTATTCTTCATGCTGCGCATGCGTGCCGTTGCACAGTATTACTGCACGGGCTTGTCACGTGCTGTGCTAGCCGCTGCTAGGCTATGGCTACATATTCTCGACCACACACACGAAGGGTAGCATATCCGACATTTTTGTGTTCTTCCTGGATGCACGTCGATCGGGATGGGGACACTGCTGTTTTTTCCTCTTTCTTCGTGCTTCACACTCACTCAACACAAGGATCACGGAGCTCTTCGTGGCTGCGCTATGGTGACGGTACTTCACTGGTGTGATTGCGGGGGAGTCAATCTTGACAGTCCCTCAGGTGGATGGTGCTTCCTCATTTGGCCAGAAAGATACCTAGACATTCTCAGCACGGTTTGGACCCTTGTAGATACTCCGGAAATGTTGTCCTTGTCGAGAGTATCAAAGCAACCCCCTGATATGAACAAGAGTGTCTATTGGCAATTGGTAGATTTGGTAGGTATGATCTTGCCTCGGCCACTTGCTGACCTTGCAGAGCCCAAACCTGTATTTTCAAGTCACGAAAGGTAGCCCTTTAGGGGATACCTTGAGTTTGTCTTGCGAAGCAAGTGTTGGCGCGTCCGGGTCTAATAATTGATCATTCAATTCAACCCCCCCCTCTAAATTCAATTCTCTCCTGGAGAACGTCTTCGTGAGCCTCTCATGAGTTGAAACCCTCTTGAACATTCAGAAAGAGTGCATATGAAAGTCTAATCACGAAAGGTGTTCCCCGAGGGGATACATACCTAGAGTTTGTTTTGTGAAGCACGTCAATTTCTCTCCTGGCGAACGTCTTCGTGAGCCTCTTATGGTTTCAGGATAGTTCAAATCCTATGATGCTCCGATTCAATGCTCACCATCTGAGCCATGGGGCAAGTTTGTTTTCCTAAGAATCTTTTTGAACATTTCGAGAGCATATGTTTGAACATTTAGAGTGCATATGAACGTATATTTACGACAGGTCGCCTCCGAGAGGATAAATCACCATGTCGAACATTGCATTTTTGTTCCTGCCTCTCGCGTTCTCTTCTCTTCCCGCTGTCCTACCTTTCGTGTCTCCCTCCTCTCAAGTTCGTAAACCTGAACGGAACTCCAGTTGCTGGCTTTCGTTCCTTGGTTGCCAACTGTGTTGCTGATTCCTTTTGTGCCTTTTGAGGTTGCTGCGGACTGGGTTATTGAAGATGAGCCAGAGAAGAGACTAGAGCGATCTGAGGCCTGTGAATGCTTCTTGTGCACGAGATTTACACGAGCATCCAAACAGTTCACGGAGGCCTGTTCCAGCGTAGTACTGGTAGCATAGGCATAGGCCTGTCAGTCAAAGGTACTCCTGCATCATGCGAATTATCGCTGAAGCCGAGGCAGAATGCCGCCATGCGACACATTGCAAAGCAGAGTTCGAGGAGGCGGCCAAGAATGCGAGGGACTTCTTCTACATATATCGATAACTCAATATTCACAAGGCCTACCGTGCCCATTCACATGCTTTACCACATCATCAACACAAGTTCATTCTAGGTGTTGTTTCCTGTATGCCCGGAAATGAACACATCTTTTTCCATCTTTTCCTTCCCTCCTCCCTCTGACTCTCATCTCTACTTTCCTTTCATGTCTTTTCTTTGTTCTTACTTTCCCTTGCTCACTTTTCCTATTCTGGTCTGAATTCCCAAAAGAAAATCAATTGAGCATGCTGGCGGTTGATAGTAAAAAAGCTTCCCCAGGGTTGAACTATAAAAAAAATAATGATCACTGAAAAGACCTTAAGACAATTAAAACTTTTAGGAGAGGATCACTGGCTGTTCAAAACTGGGATCGCGATTTTATAGTGAATTGCTTTTTTGGAGAAGAAAACAGTTGGTACGCAAACATTTAGAAGAGATATTGACTTTACTAAGGAACAAGTTGCCAGTGTGAAATGTGGTTTTAATATGTGTTAATTGTATACAACATGTTTTTGCCTCACATGTTATAGAGACAAGCGTGGAAAACTTAAGAATTTATGATTATACAGCAAAGTTGGCTAGTGAGCAATATGACGTGATTTTTTTGGATACAATGACTTTATGTACAGAGAAAGAAGTGACCACTTCGCGAGAAAATTGAACATATCGTGTGAGTGGTAGATGTGTAAACTATTGTGAACTCATCATTGATTCCAATGGTTCTTTTTTGTTTTGTAAGTTTGCAGATGATTGGTTTGTACTTTTTAAACGCCTTCCTTCATTTGATGAGATGAAATCCAATGATGACAAAATGAGTCTAGACGAGACCAGAGCGAGAAGGAGAAAGACATTAGCTGAGTCTGTCGGAAACGTACCGTACACAGAAACGGAAACGGATAGTACTTTCCCGATTGCTTTGCTTGTATTTTTGTCTCTGATCCGTTTACAGTAGCGTGTTTCTGATTTCTTTGTAGATGACTGTTCAGCAGAAAAATTACTACTGAGTAACTCTGGCGCACAGTTTTTAATAAATCTGTTGTGGCTGTAAACGCACTTTATGAACCTGTGCACCCCATTCTATAGTGACTTCATTTGGCTACCCTGCGACTTAAGGATGTCAAGTTGTTTGAACAAACGTATTATTATTAATATTATTGATTGTATAGTGATTTGTGGGTATACACGCTCCTGAACTTTTGATTATTTATAGCGTAATCCTGCCCCAAAAACTAGAACCCTGCGGTTTAAGTGCTATAGAATGCGAGGGCAAGTAGCTATATAAATTAACATGGGGATCTTTTCCTTGTGTTCTTCCTTGTTTGCGCTATGTTTTTCTTCTTTCCCTTTCCTTCCCTGCCCCCGCTCTTTCCCTTGTGTCATCCTTTCTAATTTGCTTCTTTAAAGAAACACTTGTATGCGTTCCTTGCTTTCCCTTCGCCTTTGCGCAGCCGCAACTGGGGAGAAAGAGGGTTGGAGCTTATAGCTCAGTTCTCATTTGCATAGGCTTCTCATGGCTTCTCTCAAGGAAACCATGTCAACCTGGCCAATGTTTTCCGTGTTTGTTTGCTCCAGTAGTTTGAAGGATTGACGTCCTTGACTGATGTTGACAAGCTGTATTGCATTTTTCATATGTCATATCATATGTCCAATGGTGGCCGGTTTTGATTCAATGAGCGATGCTCAGGCGCTTTCGGTCTCAAAGCAATTGGTGCACCGTTTGCGGAAGAAGCTAGACTCGCATACCGAGGAGAAGCCATGCACTGCTTGTTGGGCTTTTCTGTGTTTGCATCCGAGAAATATGAAGAGCGAGTATTCTTTAGCTGGAGGACACCCTTCGTTCCAGTGCTTCAACTGCAAAGCTCCTTGTATTGTATTATCAGGTCATACAGAGTCATACATGGTGTGCTTGAGTCGCCGGTAACTCGAAGCTGAGTCTTCTAGGATGGCTGGCAGACGTGGATTCCAGGCTAGAAACCCGCAAACTGCTTGAAGCTGCTTGTTTTCTTCTTTAACCTTCGCTGCTTATGACTGCTTGAATGCTTAAAGTTGGCTTTTGTGACATGGACAATGCTCCTTTCTGACTTGAGGTTGGAGTGACTGTGTCACCTTGTAGGACCTGGATCAACTTCGCCAAGAAGTGCGCCGCCTTGGTGTCCAAGTAGAGATTGCAGAGCAAGAGTGTGGAGAAGAGGCCACCCGGCCACGCGACGTTGGGATTTAGGCCGCCAGCACGATTGGTTTACAAAAAGAAAACAGGACAGTGGGTGAAAGCGTCCAACACTTTCCCGATTGTATCCGTATATGCAACACTCTTTACCACCATCATCATCATCATCATCATCATCATTCTCCTCGACGTCGTCGTCGTCGTCATTTTTTCCCAGGCAGAAAGTACCTACTTGTACCTACTTACAGAAAGAGAACCAAGGAGGAATTTCAAGAGAGCACTTGCTGACGGAATTCTATCAGCATGGCTTTTGGGAACCTGCTTTTCTCTCTTTCCTCAAGCGCAGGTATGGGCTGCAAGTCAATAAGAGTGCAATTCACAGACAACTGCTGCTGCTACTGCATTAACATGCTTCAAACACACCTACAGCAAGAGCTGCTTGAGAAACTCTTCCACGATCGATCCATTGGACGATCTTGTGTATTTGCATGCTTTGACTTGGAACTCGCCACAAAAGGGGGAACGCACTTGGACAGTTGGGGTTTACAGGCGAATGACCAACGGCTGGCTGGTCACGCTAGTCGGTTCAGAAACTGTCTACAGCACTGTATTCTGAATGCAAGCATCAACAAAAAACAGCTGCTGCGGCTGCGATTGAAACATTAAACTTCTTCCTCTATGTCAAAGACACGTTTTAATGGCACTGACTGAATCCAGTGTGCAGAATTGGCAAGCAAAGCGAGACTTTCGGCACAATCCGCCCTCCTGATTTCTTGCTGGATGCTGATCAGGCCAAGTTGCTTTGGGATAAAAAGGATACAGAGCTTCCACGCCTTCGTGACAGGATCTTAGTATAAAGTGCCAGGGAGGGTGATGCTGACATTCATCTTGAAGCCGAGGCCGCTGAGCGCGAGAGGCAACAACTTGTTGCAAGGCTGGGTCAGGCTTGGATGAGTCAAGGAGCTGGTGGAGCTGTTTTTGCTTTGAATCGTTGACATTTTGCATGCTGTTTTTTCAGGCGCGCTACGATCGCGACCACCTCGAGCGAAACTTCACTCGAATTATCAATGGTTTACAAGAGCATGAGGCCACTGTCCCCGATTAAGCAAGACGATCAGACATTTGTCATGCAAGTTACAGTATGCGATGAAGGCGCGCATGGAGCAACCATCTCAACAGCTTTCCGAAGGGCTTTTCCTTTGTCGCCGGGAGGGAGAGGTGCCAATGGCTGCTTTTTGCACCCAACATCCAATTGGCCTTCTTTGCCAGGAGATGGTCGCAACAATGAAGGATAACGACCGCAATATTGCAGAGATGCGCGCTATCCTCCGTTCACCTATACAGCAAGTCTTTTGAAGTGCAAGAGAATGTGAGAGATAGTCCCAGCATGTTCCAGCAGCTTTGCAACGTGATCAACCATTTGTGCATCTGTGCAACAAAGCTCGACTCCCGAGGGAAGGAGCGATGGGAGACAGAGGCAGGGCATCGGGCATTCTTGCTGAGCTTTACTTTTTGAGCACTGGAGGCGTTCATCGAGCACCTCAGCAAGCAAGTTGCAAAACTCGAGGCCAAGTGTGTGACAGAGAGGTGTTGTAGAAAGTGTGTGGATTGAAGGACGAACGGAACTCGCTCAAGACCAGTCTTGGGCATGAACCAGGCAGGATTCAAGCTCATTGGCCTTACACCATTTTTGAAGCCCGGGCATTGAGGCGCTTTGGCAGGCATAGACCATGATGTACGTGCAAGGATCTCAGAGAGGCTATCAGAAGCTGGAAGCAACGACAATAGCAAGAACCAGCAAACCGGTTATATAGCCTCTTTTGAATGTACGTATGCAAGTCAACCACGGTCACGTTACGTGACCACTATGAGACTGTCTGTTTGCTGAGGAAGTGCGGAATAATATTGTTTTTGAAACAGGCCAATGGTCAAAGGAAGTTTAGGGTGCAAAACTTCCGTGTTACGGACTTTCAACAGCTCTAGCTCTAGTTTCAGTCAGCTCTCTAGCTCCACTTTAGCTCCAGTCAGCTCTAGCTTTAGTTAGCTCTAACTCCAGTCAGCTCTAGCTTTAGTTAGCTCTAGCTCTGGCTTTGCAGGTGTTCAACATGCATTTTGGAAGGAAGTCTCGTACAAAGTGCGTGTTTGAGAGAGAGCGGAAGCACGAAATG